ACCAGTAGTGAAACTACCCACAATGCTTCACCAACCACTCCAAACAACAGTGATCGTCTACCAGTGGCCTAACAACCACCCAAAACATCCTAGAAACGACCCAAAACGCAACCATCCACCACAGCAACCCCCTTTGGTTCACATCTGACCCAAACATAACATTTTACATTTCATAAATAAAAACAAGAATCATAAAAATGCAATACTACTTATATTACATATTAATTAATTAGTATTTTTGAGGCATTTGGACCAACTATAAAATGAAGACGAGTATTTCAGAGTGTTTCTGTGCTTTAATTTAACGGGTCAGAAATGCACAGGTGGTTCTCAGCTGCGCGTGAGCGCGTGCCCGACGCCTCTTCTCCTGCAGTAAGCGGCGCGCATTCTGATCTGCCGTTTATCTCGCGCTGACACTGACACTTAAAGACTAAAAGACGGAGGAAAAAGAAGGAAAAAAGCATTAAAACGTGAGTGACCATTGTTATCTGCTTACATGGTTAGTAGGATTCATACAGAAAAACGCAACTTCTTTTAATCAGGAAGTGGTTGATACATCGTGTGAGTTGCCAAAACTGTTTTCGTTGCAGGAAGTCAAATTCAAACATTTCTGTACATTATCTGTAACTTTGCTTACAGTTATGGTCTTGATTATTGTTGAAATTCAAGTGTAAAATTTTTTTTTTTTTTAGTCGTGAACTTGTACAGAATTCCGTGTGATGCTCTAGAAAAATGAGGAACTTGCAAAGTGCAATAACACTTTTAACACTCGTTTGATTCATTAAGACATGTAAACGAAAATGTAGCTTTTGTTTTCCATGAAATGTGTGGAATTACAGCATTAAGCTGTGATGATCCTGATGTTTTACTCTCTTCATGACACCGCAGAGCAGTCGTGAAATAGTCCGTTTATACAAGATTATTATAATTAGTCACTTAGTGATACATTTATTCATACAGCATATCTGTAAATATTTTTTTAATATGTTTATTGATGCATTTTGAGCATAATGCATGTAAGGAGGAAATGTAAGGAGGAGCCATGAAATCTTGGCTTCTCTCTGTAGATGTGGAAATCTGTGGTGGGACATGATGTTAATGTGAAGGTCGAATCAGAGGGGGACGACTGGGAAACCGATCCAAATTTTGAGGTACAGTAAGCAGACCTGAACAATAAATATACTGCTCTAAAGTTTTCCTAACATCACATATTTTACTGAATTAAAAAAAAAATTTTTTTTTTTAATAAATAAAAATGTGTCTATGTATCAGAACGATGTGTCGGAGCAGGAGCAGAGATGGGGTTCCAGGACCATAGAAGGATCCGGCCGAAAAGAACACATCAGGTGACAGTTAATACACATACAGATGCTGCATGTGATGTGGAAGGTGAATTAAAAAACAAATATCTACAGATTTTAAATGATATAATAATATGGCACCATGTTGCATTGGACTGAAAGCACAACTAAAAAGAGTGTTGCTCTCTGCAGAGAGGAAATAGGAAGTAGAAATGCTGCCGACTTGAGTTGCATTTCCAAATATGGACTGATAAGTTCAAGCTTACATCATGCCAGAAGCGGAATAAGATATTGCACTGACACACTGCATTTTAAATGTATCTATTAGATGTATCTGTATTATTTAGAATAATAGTGTTGAAGAATATAAATGAGCACCATAAGGAAATGCAAACAGTTGAGTGCGTAACGAAAGTGCCACATTCCATGGTAATATGCAGCATGTAGTAACATGCAATGTGCCTGTGTTTGTGTGTAGCATTGCAGATCTCAGGCAGAATGTGTCTAAGGAACATGAGGTGGTTAAGAAGAAAGAGATGGACCAGGGCGCTAAGGCCTCTTACGGCTATGGAGGGAAATTTGGAGTTGAGAAAGACAGAATGGACAAGGTTAGACTCAAAAGAACAGGCTGCTGGGTTAGAAAGTGACTTCT